GGGGTAAGATTTAGTCTTAAGCTTTCTTCAAAAACCTTTTAGCGGCAGGCAAATCCAATGATTTCAGAATTAATTATTTTGATGTTAGTCCTTTCTTCGAGGGTGGAGGAAGAGAGTTGGGGGGGGTTGAGTCCAGACACTGAAGAAGGAAGATGGTAATTTTTAATAATAATTTCTGGAACCGGCCCCCCTAGAGAAAGAACAAAACTCAATCCCAGCTGAGATCTGCTCCTAAGACTGCACAAATCTTGAGGCCAGATACTTTTTTTCCCTTAGAAGTAGAGCAAAACATCAGAGGTGTGTGCTTATAAAAAAAACAGAAACCGGATGAATATGTTAGATTAACTTAGATGCTGACTCCACCAAACTATGTTTAATCCTTTCTTTTTTTAATGCCACAAGAAACATAAGGTTAATCTGTACTACTCTTTTACCTTCATACAGTGCTCAGCCCAGAAACCATCCAGATGTCAACACCTGAGGAGTGTCATAAAGATTCTTTCATTGTTAGGCATAGCTGGAATTTCTGGACTCATTTCCTATCACCTCTGGATTTCCTGACAGATGTTTAACAGAAGTTAAAGTATTTCTAGGCAAATTGATTTATGAGATATACAAAGGTTTTCGGGGATGGAATGGAGGGGCTCCCTTCATAATAAAAATCCCCTGCCACCTCTGCGAACTGAGCGACATTTTATTCAAGAAGAATCCATGAAATTGGAGGGAATTTGAAGTATAAAAAGGCCAAAAGCTTTGGAGAAAAGATTAGCCGCCATCCCATGGCTCAGGAACAAGGAAAGGCACTTCTTTAAAATGCCTTGAGACCTGGTAAGAAAGGGAGAGACATGATTTGGGGCCATCAACTGACAAATAGGCCTTACTCTTCTACCAAACCCTACAGACTGGTGGTGGGTACTCAGAATATTTGGGTGAAAACTACGAAGCTAAGTTAATCTAAAGGGAACAGGACTGTGATTGATCGCTGGTATTTTTCTCTTAAGAAGCTGCCCAAGTGGCTCCTTCATTCATTCATTCATTCATATGTTTAACAAATACTTGCTAATTGCTGACTACAGGTTGGCAATTGCCCTAGGTCTGCAGATGACTAGTGAGCAAAAATGTCATGAGGTCATGGTCCTCAAGGAACTCATAAACTAGCAGAGAAGATAATTATTAGTCTAATTACCACAAGAACAAATGCAAAATTTCATCTGTTACAAGTGCTGGAAGATAGAAATGTGTGTAGTATAAAGGGCCAAATTGGAAGATTTGATTCAGTACAGGAAAGTTCCAGAAGGCTTCTCTGTGGGAGTGCTGTCGGACGAGGGTTGGGCGTGTAGGCCTTAACTAAGTGAAGAAAAAACAGAAGAGCATTCAGGCAGAGGGAATGGGATGTGCAAGGAGAGTGCACTGGTCTGATCTGTCTGTGTCCTGACACTTAAGGGAACCAAAGGAAGGTTTTCAGCAGTGACAGCTGGAGGATGATGAGAACATGAGATCCGTCTTTGGACAAGATGATGCTTCTGCTCAGTGAAGTGAGGAATGGTTGGCCGAACATGAAGGGCAGTATGCCCATAGGCACAGGAAATACTGTGGACGGGACACGGTATAGGAGCGACCTTCATACAGGTAGGAAGATACAGCCTAAGCGCTCCCACGACATGTTGCTGAGGCTGTCAGAAACTCAGGGATAGCATTTTGCCCAAGGCCACTGCTCCTACCCTCCCTGAAAATCTCACATGACGAGCAGATTCTGGCATAAGTTCTTTGTGGCTCCAACGTATGTGGCAAATGCATCTTTTTTTTTTTGGTTTTTCTCCGGTACCGGGAACTGAACTCACGACCTTGTGCTTGCCAGGCAGGCGCTTTGCCGCTGAGCTAAATCCCCAGCCCCTATGCATCTTAAAAGTGTACAAGAAGCATCTGGAACTCCTAAATGTCCACATGGCTCACTCCTTCACCATCTTCAAGCCTCTACCCAAACATCCCTCCCTAGAGGTTCTTCCTATCAATTCCTTTTTGAGTCATTACTAGCCCCTCATTCCTACTTTGGCACTTCTATCCTCCCTTATCTATGTTTTTCTTTTCTCTAACTCATAATTTATCTATTTATTACATTCACTGTTTATTGCCTTTTCTCCTGCCATTAAAATTAAGCTCCACAAGGAAAGGGTACTTGTTTATTTTGATCACTGATGTATCCCCAAAATGCCTACTACTATAATACAAAGTAAAAACTCGATAAACACCTGCTGAGTTTAATCCCAATGCAGCATTTGGTCTTACCAAGCTCCTTGCCCCCAGAGCAGGCTGGGAGTCACAGGCCGAGGCATCGGAACTGGGTTTCCCTGAAGATACCTGTGAGACATGGGAACTAACCCAGGGCTCACAGTGCTGATTCAGGAAGGCAGTGTTCAGTCCAGCCAAGAGCAGAATCTCAGCACTCTCCACCCTGAACCCAACTCTGTACGGCATGAATAAGTGGTATAATAGTGTTTAAGTCACATGGTCTCTCAGAGCCTTGGTTTGATAAGTTAAACTATGAGGGTGATACTTTTCTCACCTCAGCAGAAAAAACACCTGTCATGGGTGAATCCTCAGCACCCGGCAGAAAACCTAGCTCATAGAAAGTACACAATTTATTGGTTGGTTGATTAAGAGGAGAATATGAGATGTCTGTAAGCTTTTTGTTCTGTTTTTTCTCCCAGTTCTGGGGATCAAACCCAAGGCCGGGGGCATTGCTAAACAAGCTCCCTACCACTGCGTTATACTGCCAGCCCTGTTTGGAAACTTATATCACATAAAGCACTTGACATAGTACCGGTTGTGTGGTGATCATGCATTCACACAAGTGCCTTTTGAGTGTCTATTATGCATTATGTCTACTATGGCAAAGTATAATACATGTGGTGGTTGTTGAATTACTCATATTTGGTCACTGGGAATGGTGTTGGTCAATGGAGAGGTTTTCTGCATAAGATATTTTACACTCCAACAGGAAGCCTGAAAAACTGTGGCATCTTTCATGAGGCATCTGGTCTCACTATCTGTGTTGAAACTGAGTAAGTCAGACCCATGCTCATGTCTTCAAAAGGCTGGGCCCCAAAAGAGCTCTGCTCTTCCAAGTCAGCCATGCAGGTGAAGACTTGTCCTTTCTGACTCATGTCTCCATGGGCTGTATACCCAGACCAGGCAAATTGAACAAGTACTACGGGCCTCTTCAGTAGAAGTTAGGAGCTGGGGCTAAAGTTCCTGACATGTCTGCTACTGTTCCATAAATGCTTGATCTTTAGGGAAGAGGACTAGGAAGGCTTAGGTGCCAACATCTGCCTGCTCTTTCTGCCATAATGCAATAGTATTGCATTATGTGAGTTGCAACTTCCAGCTATGTGCTAAACAGCAAGTATGAAATAACAATGAGACTACCTTTAAAGATTGGTGGTGACATTAATTAGCAATAGTTATATAAATAACAGCTCATTCACACCAGGCATGTGCAAAACACTTTTTATATACTACACATAAAAGTAACTCTTTGAATCACATTATTATCCTGATACACTGAACAAACTGAGGTCCGGGGAAGTGTCCATAAATATCCAGATGATAAGACCTAGAAACAGAAGTCAGCGTAAGCAGTTCAACTATGGACATCATCTGTAAAATCCACTTGAGATTGGCGAAGGATCTCTAACAAACATCATGGTATGTCCAACTGTGAGAATTAAGCAAGTTTCTCTCCTTGGATGACTGCTTTTTCTCTATAAGAGCATCAGCCCTTTAGTTTTGTTAGGAGTTGATCAATTAATGTACATAAAACCTTTAGAACCAGGCCTCATATATGGTAAGCTCGTACATATTAATAATTACTCTCCATGTGGTCAAATAGTAGTTTAAGCCTAAGAACTCCAGGCAGTACTCTGTCAGTGGTTACAGTTCCTGGCTTCTTAACTGGGTTTGGGGTATCTGAATCAGGCTTATGAAGATAAAGGAACCTCACAATTTCTGCTGTTGCTTATCACTGTGATTTTGGTCCTAAACCTTGTGTGTACTGAGGAGTCAAGGAGACTATCTAAAGCCTGAGGCCCATCCCTTACAAGCTGTGTGTCTTCGGGCTAGTTAATTCCATACGGTATGTCTCAGTTATGGCCCCGCTTGCTGGGTGGCTGTGATGACTGGGGGACAAAACCCTCGGAGAACCCTGAATACACAGCCTTGCCCATGGTAAACATTCAAAAGAAGGGACTGCTTTTATAAGCAAAAGAGTCACCACTGTTAGATTCATTACCATCTGCATCAAAGGTAGTTAAATTAGTGGGGTTTCTCTTACTGTTTTGGTGGATAGGACGTAAGAAGGGAGTTCAGACCTAGGCTACATCACCAAGGAGCCCAGCCTCTTACTTTACTGCCTCTTTCTCTACAGCAAGCCTTCAGATCCTGCCTCAGCCCAGGCAGGGGCCTAACTCTACACAGCTGGGATTTCCCAAATGCGCCCCATGATACCCAAAACCAAGCCTGTGGCAAAGAATGAAGGCTTTGTGCAGTTTCCCAGGAGCACACGGAAGGGCTACACTTGATCCTCACTAGAATCGAGGAGTGCATTTTCAAGATGCTTAGAGAAAAAGAAAGCAGCTTCAAAAAACTCCTTATTGGGAAACATCGAGGTAGATACGTGTATCTAAGAGAAAGGAAAAAGCCCACTCTGAGTAATCCATCTGACTGACAGCAATGCCTCTGGCTCCTTGGTTTTGCAGCCTCGCAAGGCCGTTTTGGAGGAGCTGATCCTGTAGGGTGGCCATCAAGTCTGCAACTATTGCAACCACAGAACAAATGAAATTACACTGCGAATCATTATATGATGCTATCACCTATGGTCTCCAACTTTATGGCTACTGAGTACTAAAAATTATCAGAAGAAGTAAAGGTCAGAATAGGATATAGCTCTTCTACATCCCCAGGTCCCAGGTTGGGGGTGAGCGTCTCCTTAGCAGCTGACTGACCTGAGACCTTTGGATCATGTATACATCGTAGCTGGACCCGTGGTACTTGGCCGTAATATCTGGGCTGTAGCCAGCATCACAAGTGCATGGTATATTCGAGTTCAGGGGCTGTTTCTTAGGTCTATAAACCTGTGGGAGAAAGCTACAAAGATTAGGTGCAGGAGGGGAGTTTGCAGGGAGTACAAGGAAAGAATTGGGGGGAAAGACAGAAGGAAGCTCATCTTGACTTTCTGTGGCCAAGTGGGTGGAAAACCCAGTGTAGAAGATGCGCAGCCCCAAACAAAGAGGTCAGATGTAAGCAGTCCCCGGTCCCTGGGGCCAGCAGTAGCGAAGCATGCCGCTCTGTGGAATGACCCCAATGTTTGGCAGCAACTGAGATTCTCCCTCTGCGAGGAGAGAGCCCAGGCATGGCGGCAGTCTCTGTCTTTCAGCAAGGCAGCCCCGTGAAAAATGAACTGCTTTAGGGCTAACACATCCCTTTTCCTTCCCAAGGAGGGAAAGCTTAGCTCAATTGTAAATTAAGGGGTTTTATTCCTTCACGTTTCTCTTCTACCCATCCTATATACTGTGCTTAGTAAAGCTCACCCAAGCAGGCAGAGAGCCATTCCCAGGGATGGAAAGCAGTGTGGATCCTCTACAGAGTAAACAGGTGCCGTTTACAGAGCTTTGGAGCTACATGTTACCCTAGCTAGAAAGAGCAGCCAACTTATGAGGCCACAGACCTCTGCGCTGAGCAGCCTTCATAATGAAGTTAGAAGCTGAGTGAAATGTCACTGCTTTATGAAGTTCTCCAAATTATATATGGAGGAGAAATAACACCTGTAGACTTCCGGGGACACTTATGTCCATTTTAAGCCACTTCCAGAAACTCCTCCAAAGGGCAAAGAACTTAAGGCACAAGTTGGCCTATGCCTTTCCTCTCATTTCCACGAAAACAAATACAATGGCCCAGAGAACAGGAAGCACATGATCATGGCACAAAAAGTGACTTAAAAATTAGACTGAATAATGGCCATGAGGTTCTGCTTTTCTAGTCTGCAGTACTAGGGGCGAGGGGCTGTTCCTGCACTGAAAGGTCCTGGAGAAAATAGTTGAAGAACCAAAGTTGGAAGTATAGAGAGAAAGAAACTTAAAGAACTGGATGAGGGGAGTTATTTACATGGGCTAGAAAGTGGACAAGACAGAAATAGAAGGGCATAGGTCCCACAGAAAAGAAGGTACCCAGAATTTAATTGGGAGCCACTAGGATTGACTTAAAAGTCAAAGTCCACTGGAAGGAAGAGAGCTGAGAGTTATTTCTGGGGAGATGAGGCTAATATAAAAGAAACACAGCGCTGATTGCAAACCACATAAGCCCAGCCACATGCACCATCAGAAAAGCAGTCAAATTGTGTTCGAGCACCAGTTTGGCCCATTTTGTTCCTACCTGGTTTTAGCTGCTTGAGCCCACAGGATGGACATGGGAAAATGAACAGTGGCTGACTCCAGAGAAAGCACCCAAGGCCCCAAGCCCAGCAACACACACCTTTCATGCAGGAGGCCCCACCTGCTGCTTTAACTGATGCACTAGTCGGTCCTTCTCCCGCTTGAGGGCCATAACTTCTTCCTGCGTCTTTTTCTTTTTGGAGGCAGACAATTCCAGCAAGGCAATATTTGCATCTTTTTCACTGATTGCCGCAAGAAGTGCTTCCTGTCTGGTGAAAATAAAGATTATTGTGATCATTTTAATAAAGTGAAAAAAAAAACTCAAACAACTGGCATTTAGAGAGGAAATGAGCCACAGGCTATGATCTCTGAGAAAGAAATACAAATATGGTTAAGACAAACTCCCTTCTTGACTCCTAGAATGGACAAAGTAGTTTAGGTTAGAATCCCCGAGCCTGGCACATGGTGTCTTCTGAGAGAGGCATCTTGTAATGGTTTCACAGGTACAGCTACACATTAGAAGTGGAAGAGAATCAATCAATTCATTTCTTAAACACCTTCACACATCTATCCATCCATCCCTCCATCCACTCCTCAATGAAGGTTCTAGGTCTCCAAGGCAATCCAACAAAACTAGGTAACAGTTTCAACATCAAGCATTACTTTTTCATGAAATATTTTCTTTTGAAGACAGGCAGAGATCTTGACTAGGGTTCCCTTTCCATTCTCCATTTGTTTAGTGAAGGTTAGCCCTGGTCTCATTCCATAGGCTTTGCCTTTGCCACAGAGCTCCTCAGCCTCCAGGTTTCGGCTAAATGCATTCTCTGCAGAGTCCTCCTCTGGTTGTTCCCTCAAATAGCGCTTCCCCGCCTTCTACCTTCAGTCCCATCAGGGTTCTGTTATGCTACACTGTTTACTATTTTCTGCAGCACTCTTCTTCACTTAACAAGGTCTTCAATATTTATTATTCCTTTGCTTTTTAGACTAGATGCTCTGTGAAACTGGGACTTCATCTGTCTTGTGTACCACCAGTTTTCCAGCTTCTAGAAGAGCCCAGAGCATAATGGGTAATCAAGAATATTGATTCAAGGGCTTGGGGATTTAGCTCAGCGGCACAGCTCCTCCCTGGCAGGTGCAAGGTCATGAGTTCGATTCCCCGTACTGGAAAAAAAAAATATTGATTCAAAGAATAGAGAAATTTACGGACTACTTTTTATAAAATTTTGCAGCTATCACTGGTCTTGCTTTCACGTTTAAAAAATCGGAATACTTTGGAAAAGATGGTCATTATTTGGATCTCACATTTTTTTCCATTTTGCTGCAGGGATTCATATGGACTTTCTTGGGCCTCGTGAATGCCAGGCAGTATGAGCTTCGGTCTGAGGATTAGGCAGTTGTATGAGTAGCAGAACATGTTAGGAAATATCTCCACTTTCCAGAAGGGAAACAGTGCAGCATGGACTCCCAGCAGCAGCATTGATATTTGGGTTTACAGAGCCTGTCCTCTGGATAACATCTTGAGACAACAGACACGCTCACCACTCACAGCCAGTACTATTTATACAGAAGGCCAAACGGAAGAGGCGGAGCCAGCTTCCAGCCAAGGAGAGCCCATTTGCTATCCGCTCCACATTTCGCTACGACACACACAAGACAGCTGTACTGTTCTACATCCTTTGTCCCAAACTGAAATGTCTAAGTAAAGCCTTTCCCGTAGAAACGAAATATTAGGAAAATTGGGAATCGATGGTAAATCATGCTGCCACTCTATGACGGATTCTTTATATTTATATGCAGCCATTTTAAATGCTGATAGCAATCGTACTGAAGTGAGGTTCTATTCACCATGAGGCTTTCATGTTTCTGTACATGTTACAAGCAAAGGTATTAGTGACTTCTTTTCTAAAATCTTTCAAGGATAGTTGTGCTCTACAGTGACGAGTCTTGTGAAATAGCGGTAATATCTCCCTTTGGGAGACATGCTTACTGCCCTGTATAATACTGTCTCCTTCCAGAGTAAGGGCGGGCATGTTATTGCCCATTATAAAATATTCAAGTTCCCTTCGTGTTGTTCTCCTGTAATGCAATCAAGTGCACGTTCATCGGTCTCCCCTACCCCCGACCTCCATGGACCACGAGCAAGGGCAATCGATATGAATACACAAACGCTGCTGTCTGCACTATAAGCAATAAAATCCTGTCCGGCCCAAAATTTCCTCGTCATTTACACGCATTATACTGAGGTAGCTAACCTGATAGCATACCAGTAGGAAAAATCTCAGACCCTTCTCAGATATACATGTATATCCGGTAAGATCCCTAAACTCACAGGAGGAAAATTAGAAGGAAATACATCAAAATTATAGTAGTCATCATTCCACTACGGTAGAATGGAGTGACTTATCTTTTACTTTTTTTCTGCTTTCTGCTTATACCTCCCACAGAGGATCATGAGAGCAAGCATTTAAAAATTATAAGCAATTCTCTTCAGTCACCAAGTAAATGGCCACTGCATGCTTCACAAGCTTCACAAGGCAACATTTTCTCATTTTCTCACCCAGGCTTTTTATGTTTTGCCCATCTTATTTATTATGCTCAGATAGGTGTGCACACGCATACTGTCACATGCACACAACCGCTGGTACAGCCAACATCAACTCCCATTTAAAAAGCTGCAGTAGTCTCCTAACCAAACTCCCTGTGTCTACTTTTTGGCCTCTTTAACTCTTTAACCTCTTCAGTCAAAATCTGGCACTAAACAGCTTTAATAACATTAAATCTAAACAACTTTAACAAATGTCATCACCAACCCAAAGAATGGTTGTTCCAAATTTCCTTTTCCTTATAATTTTATGATTTAGGCTTTTAAACATTTAATACTTATTTCTCCTCCCAAGGTGCCATCAACCATCCCAGCAAATTAATTTTAATTCTTATTTTACTGTTAGAAATGAATAAATTTCCAATTCTTCATAGACATTATCACCAAATATAGCTTCAAATCAAATTACTCCTAATTGTTAAACCTCAAAACACATTTAAAATCATTTTATAAAAGTACATTTAGCATCACTCATGAATATTCATATGCAAACAAAATAATCCATTTTGTTCTTCACAACCTTTTCTACTTTTGTTTTTGTCACTTTTTTGCTTTTGGATCATAAATCTGTTTTATAAATACTTTCATTATACAAATATAGATCTCTAAATAAAATTGGTGTAACAAAAACCATATATATTTTGAAATCTCCATTTAAATACGGGTCCAAAACTAATGATTTCCCCTAAAGTTACTTTGAGATGTACACTCAATAATTCTAGTCTGCTTAAATCAAAGAGTAATTAGCAGAAGATCACAATTTGAAAAGTGGGAACATTTCATAATTTTGGATATTTGGAAAGATGTCTGAGTATGTAAAGACATGCCTGGTTGTCATCTGTTTGTAAAAGGATCCAGGCTAAGCCAACCCTGAGTTGTGTGTTGACAGAAAGCCATTACCTTTGTTTATATGCAACAAGTTTTATAAAATGAGGAAAAGGACTCTCTACTATGGTGGTACACGTCAGCTAATAATTTAAATCTCTGGGAGCTAATTCTGCAACGTTATATACAGGTCTTCATTAATCCTACTCTAAAGGTCAGGTGTTTTCCAGAGTCGGGGATAACAGACCTAATTTCATATAAAGACTAACGTCATTTTGTCAACCCTTCATCAGATTCTTCACTTTTACAATTCACATGAGCTAAGTTGCCAATACACTGACACAAAGTGCCTAGTGACAAATACCTCACAAAAACCATGTCAAGCTCCGTTTTGAGAAACTGGCCAATGTTGGAATAAATTAAAAGGCTTAAATTAAATACTCAATAACCACCATGGGCAATTTTGCTCCAGCCATTCATAAACTAGGAAGAATGGCATATTGGCAGTTTTATTTATTTTTTTAAAGTGAAAAAACAACAAAAACAATGATACAAAATTTCAAAACAAGATAGTAGGAGAATAACAATAGTTAGCACATTGCTTATCGTTATCTTTAAAGTAGTTGCTCAGATTATAACATATAGGCATGAAAAACTGATCAGATGATATAAGCACAACCCTTTCTTTTCAATGAACTCATAGAAATTAGTAGCATAGCTCTCTTAATTCATATATATATATATACATATATATGTATACATACATATATACACATACATATATATATGCACTTTTCCTTTTCCATTCCTTCTTTTCTCCTTTCCCCCATCCCAGTTTCTCTTTCCTTTATTTGCAGTTTTAATCCACTATTAAAAAGTAAAAGGTTTGAGTGTAAAGAGAATACTAGTGACAAGACATCTGGATATAAGTTGGAACTTAAAGAAAAATTATTATTTTTCCCAATAAATTTAGAAATTGTTACTGCCTGGTCAACCTGAAAAGAATTCCCGTAAGTTTGACATCATTTCAGCACTTAATCTATTCTTTTTTCTTTTCCGTAGATAACATGGGAATTGCACATAAACACATCTTCAGACAGTGAGTGAGGCTAGCTATACACTGAAAAGTCCTTGCTTCACAGTACATATACTAAATAAAGCATATAGTGAAGGTTTGCAAAATTATCTCTAGGACACTGCCATACTCTAGTATACAGTTACTAAGGTGATCTGTCTATGCCCCAAAATATAGTTTAAAATATGAAAAGGAAGCCCAAATATGCTAGGAAGGAAGATAAGATAATGCAAAGAGAAATAAATCTATAGGAGTCTGCTGAACGCCAAGTTAAGAAAGTGGATCATAGACAGCATTTTATCAAAGTGCAGCCTAAACAAATGTCAAGGGGAATAATTTCTTTAACAAATATGGGCAACAATGGAGGAAAAAGGGGGAATTTTATGCCCCCCCCCCGCATTTAGTCAGGGTTAACAATGGATAAAAGTATGGGCAAGAACACATTTAATAACCCTAAGTTGTCATTCAGTTTGTAGGAGGTAGTCAAGACACAGCTAATAAGACACCAAAAAAAATGGTTTGCGCCACCCTGAAAAAAAAACTTCCCTGGACTGAAACAAAAGAGAACTGAAGGGCATCTACTGCCAAGATAAATGCCTTCTCTTGCATATTGCCTGTGGCGGACCCGCATAGAGCTCTCCAAGATCCACTGGCGGTAATACGCGGCCAAGACACTTATCACCATCAGTTTAAAGGGGAGCTTTGTAAACATTTCTGTTTCACTCCCTGTTGTTGTCATTCTATTAATGATGATTTGAGCTCCGAGA